CAGTGGTCTAGCCGGGGTGGGTTTGCGAGTCCTGAAGGCGGTTTTCAGATCTAGGTTCGTTTAGTTTCTGGGGCCTTTTTCCGGTGGGTCGCTCTTAGGTGTTTGCTTGGTCGTGCGGGAGGTGGGATTGACGTCCGGTGGGAAGGGTGTTGTTATCTTTGTTTTGTTTTTGTGTTATTTTTGTATGTTGGTTAGTATTTTTGTTTCTTTATTTTTGGTTCTCCCGGTTGGGAGCTTCTCTCCTTGTGGGAGTTTTTATCTCCTGTATTGAGGGTTTGTTTCTCCTTTGTTGGGAGTTTGTAGGTTGTTTTTGTGTGTAACGTCCAAATTTTTATTTACTATTTATAGAGCTCGACTATATTTTCATAAATATTAAGTTTTTAAATTTAATGTATTTATTATATTTATTTGTATGAAATTAAATAATTAGCATTAAAGTCTAAGCCTTGGATTTAATCGGAATTTTATTTAAATGAATTGAAGCCGAATAATTTAATTATTCGAGCCCAATGGATTTTGAGCGGATCCAATTTATTAGTCGGCCATTTTTAATTCGAGTTATCGAATTAATTTCCAAGCCCAAGCGATATTTTAATTCCGAGCCCAATATTTAATTTCGGCCCAAAGTCAAAATTATTACTACAAGCCATCATTTTATTTATAGACCGAATATTTAATTTTTTAGTCACTATCTGAATTAATCGAGCCGGAGTGTTAAGATTTTTTTATTAGCCCGATTATGTAGTGATTTTAGGCTCGACTCTCTAGCCCGATTCTTAGCCCAACAAGAATAGAAACCCTAAACTCACATGCTCCATCTATAAATAGATGTTCCCCTTTCCCAACACTCAAAACCCTAGCCACCATAATTACTATTCATCATCATCCCCACTTCACCATCTTCAAAACTCATGATCTATCAACACCTACTCTCATTTCCACTTTTCTTGCAAAATCTACATTAGGTCTTAGCATCTATCAAGACCTACCTCAAAAATTAAAGAAAAAACTTCATCTTCACCATCTCTTCTTGTCCATGGCGTGAAGCTCGAAATCCCGCCATCCTGCACGTTTTCCGGCCACAGCTCGCGCCGGCAAGCCTCAGCCCGCGACCCTCACACCATTTCCAGCTCAGCCCGCACGCAGGCCCGTCCGTACGCGCACGTCAAGCTCCAGCCCGAGCTCACCACCGCGTCTCAGCCAAGCTCCGGCGTTCCAGTCGGTTTCAGCTCACTTTTCACGGCCAGCTCTCGTTTCCAGCTCCTATTCACGCACCAGCCCGCAGCTCGAGCTCCATCGTGCAGCTCCCGCCGTCCATCTCGCACAAGCTCATGACCAAGCACCCTCCAGCTCGCCTCCACGCACCCCGGGTCCGAACTCGCCGGAAAAAGAAGCTCCTCCGCGGCCAGCACCTCGGATCCGGACCCGAGCAGCCAGAAAACCGAACAAGCAGCTCCTCCTCGCGCCGAACCACCTCAGATCTGGGACTCCTCAGCTCAAAACCGAGCCCATAGCCCGAGCTCGACCCGACAGCAATTTGTAGCTTTAGATCCGGCCCGGTTGCTCTCTTTTCCCTTGTTCTTAGCTCGACATATTTTGACTCGCCGTTTTCGCATGATTTTAGGTATAATAACGAAAGCTTGATTTACATGGCTTAGACTAATGTTATAACTTATAAACGAGATAAGAGAAAGAATTTTGATTTGAGCGATTTTGGAAAAAAAAAGGGGACATACGAGCTTAAAGCTATTTTTCGGGACTTGTTAAATAATAGTGATAAAATGATAATTTAAATTTTGTAAATCATAATAAATTTTCTTGAGGATTAGGATGCGAGTAGGAAAATATTTAGAGTATGTTTGATAGACAAACGAGACTTTTGAATGAATTGACCGGTTGAAGCGATTGCTAGTTGAATGAGTAAGGTGTTGAATTTGGACTTGATATTTTGACCGTAGATCACGATCATGTTGAGGATGTTACGTTTCGAATTTCATAAATTTTAGATGTCATTTGACTTAGTTATAAAATCGGTTCTTTAGCCGAGGAATTCGATATTTTAGAAAATTAGCTGGATATGATTTTAGTTGCAGTTGATGGATGTAAAATCCATATAAATCACATAGAAAATATATATTAAATATCGGCCTTAAGTGAGTTAGATTTTTAAGAATCAGAAACTCTAGTTTATCCGGTTCCGATTACTGGGTATTTTTTCGGATCCGAATATAATTGACTGAACCATATTTTCTGCCCACCGGTAAGTTGCGTGAAATGGAATGATGACTTCGAGCCTGAGAAAAGATTTCCCTAGTATCGTCAGAATAATTTTTAAACGTCGTATCGTTAATTCGTAATGCGTATCGTCGTCCCGCACACGTGCTCGACTCTCGTCCGACCGTTGGAGCCGAACCGCCGAGTGCGTGCCCGTGCACCGAGTCCAAGTCAAACCACCGAGTGCCTGCCCGTGCACCGAGTCCATCTGACCTACTGTCTACGCGCCATTCCGTTAGCCGTGGTCTAAGCACGCCCTGCGTCAGTGACCGTGACACCGTTTCAAACCCGTGCATCGGCTAAGCTGTGTTAGTCGAGTTCGTGCCGGCTCGAGTTGCCACGCTCAGACCACGGTCAAACCGAGCTGCACATAGTCAAGCGAATGATCGACCAGCTCCGAGTGAGAATCGGTCCAATTCAGTCGAACCAGTCCGGTCAGTCCGAACAGTTCGAGATAAATTTCAGATCCAGACATATTAAGATTTCAGATATAGTCAAGATTTCAGATATAGTTAATATTCCAGATAAAGTTAAGATTTCAGATAGTTTAAAGATCCACATATAGTTTAGATTTCAGTCAGATTAGATTTAAGTCAGATTTTAGGTCCAGACATAGAAATGTTTCAGAGAACTCTAGCATGCCTCAAAGACAATAATATTTTCAAAATTCGCTCGTAAATCCCTAAATTGATTTTTAAAGTCGAGTGAACGAACCTAGACAATAAGATATTAAAAGTTTTATTCTGAACCAGTACTTAGAATATTTTGCTCAATATATTTTGTAGCTTGAGGAGAGTCGAGCCTCCGTCAGCTACCCATTTCAGATATTTCAGCATTTGCATTCGCCAATTTCTAGGTGGGGACCATGTACTGTATATTTCATCGCTTTTAATAATTTACCATGTCTGAGGTCAATATATGATTAAATTGAAAGACCGAGACGGATGAGTGATCTCGTCTTTGTCAAGATGTCAGATGTCAGTTATGACTTAGATGAGTGGGCGAGGCCTAGCCTAAGTCCAGCGTCCAGATGAGTGGGCGATGCCCAGCCTGGATTTCTGTGGGAGGGGACCCCCAGAGTGTGCACATGAGTACAAGTTTACCGTTAGTCCCGTAGTCAGACCAGTTTATTCATATAT